CTTATTTAATTTTACATAGAGTTCAGACTTGTTCAAAGAATTGCTGATGATCATACAATAACTGGCAGGCTAGAGCATGAATTTTATGACTCATGCTCTTTCCATGACACTTACTTAAAAATAGCACAATGAATGATATATAAAACCCTAAATTTTCTCACTTTTAAATTAAGCTATTTTACTATATATCTATGTATGTACATAGACATAAAGCATATGTATGTATATAAAGTACATGTGTAGACATATATTACACATGTATCATACATGCATACTACCATATACACATATATTTTACATAACTAAATACATACTTTTATATGAATGAAGAAAACATTAAACTGGTATTCTTGAAGCTTTGATAGTTCCACTAATATTACAGACTCTTAACTACATAAGAGTAATGAAATTTTTTTTTAAAGTTTGGAAAACTGGTAATTTTATCTATATTCCAGAAGAGATTGTAAACTTTGTTTTCTTAAATGGACATTAAAAAGTGAAAATATGTTTTATTTTAATAAGAATCTTTCAGTAATATTGATTACTAGCTTACAAGAGGTTTTTTGGGGTATGTCATAAAATAGGTACTACTATCAGACCACTAGGAAGAGCCCATAATCAGTCTCTGTAGCAGTGCACCAGAAGTCCAGGCAGGCCCTACGGTTCCCAGGGGAGACAAATCACTACTGCCATACATAACAGCACATCAGGCAGAAAGGGTCTACAGACGTGATCTTCGTGTAGCCCAGTCAGGAGGGAAAAAATGTGAAAGAATGGCAAAGAGGTTTTACCAATATATTCTCCAAATTTAAGCTACACCATTAGCAGGAATCCTAATTCACACTAAGTTATAGCAATAATACAAACAGCTATTGAATTCTTATCCTTTAGGAGTATATATATATACAATAAATTATATGGGAAGTGTCATTTATTCATGCTATCTAACAAAGGATGATATACTTTTTAAAAATGTACAAATGAAGCTATTATACTCCCAAGCACAGATGAGACTGCATAAACAACGAATAATTATACTGGTTTGGATCAGTTAAGCTCTGAGAAGAATGACATTTTTAAAAACTCATTTCCGTTGAAGAAAGAGACACCTTTGGAGAGGAGAAGAAGAGACACAACATAGTGGGGCTATTCTGATTAGAGGGGGTGGCTGGAAACACACACGAGAAAACAAGCATGAAATCTGCTGCAGCGCTGATAACCAGAGCACTGCCTTGCTACCCAAGGTATCTGAGCAACATGTCAAAGGAAACAGTAAAGCAGTAAGCACCTCGCTGGAGGTGAAGGATGTCACCCTGTACTTCCCGAGGTAGCTGGATTCATCCTTTCAAGGCATGATAAATCAATAGCAGGCTTATTCTCTCTGCACACAGCTTTGATATCTCAGAAAGAAGTAGACTTTTAAATACTGGGGAAAAACATACAAACAAAAATGAAGTAAGTGTACTTTTCCCTAAAGACAAGCAAAAATGGAGGTTGACTTTTGAAAACTGTTTCCCACAATAGCAAATACAAATACATAAAAATAAGGCTGGGTCCTACACTACACAGCAATAAGTCATTATGCAGAAATAAGTAATTCTGCATGAAATTCATTTTAATCTCTTCCTATACCACTCAAAAAATTCAATTAAAAAAAAAGAATCTCAAAAATACAATTCATTGTGAAGGTACAATGTTTAAAAAAATATTTCTATACAATAAAAATAAGTATAAAGAATATTTTATTTTCCAACATGTCAGGAAATTTTTTAAAACTTATAGTTTTATTTACTTTCTAAAATTAAGGAGGGCTGGGGATATAGCTCAGTGGCATAAGCACCTGCCTCGCAAATGCAAGGTTGTGAGTTCGATCCCCAGTACCGCAAAAAAAATAAAATAAAATAAAATTAAGGAGAGTTTTTCCATGACACTTTGGTCAAAGCATGACAAATTCTGGAAGTAAGGCTGATACTTTAATCTTTGAAAATTTACAGTGAATACAATTACTACCTGATCTTCAAATTTGATATTAATAGTTCTACTAACCCACAAATATACGGTTTATAATAAACACATAGGTTCTTGTGGCTCTAAAATATTTTAACGTTTTTCTATTACCAAAAAATACTATTAGCCTAGAAACAAATTTCTAAAATAAATGGATAATTTTATTCTTTGTTCACTTTAGACTATTAGAAACATTTTTCCTCGTTTTAAATATCTTTGAGTTTACTGTCATGATAATGATTTAGGAACAATACTCTTATATATAACTTTCATTATCAGTATTAAAAGACAAAAAATATTATTTTTCTTAAAGCTAGAAATATAAAAATTGAACTGACAGTTAAAGCAAAAATAAAAAAGAACACCAAATTGAACTAAAATATCAAGCGTGAGAAATCTATACTACTGAATTGATTAATATATTAAGTATATTAGAAACAAATCAAATGGCAACTTGTAAATACATGTTTATGCTTTTATATGGTGAAAGCTTACAGCTATTCAAGTTATTTTTTGCAATCACTTTGTTAAGACAGAATTATGAGTGTGGCGCCCTCTGCTGGGTTTTCTAGTCACAAACTCAATCCAACAACCACAATTTGTGTTAAAAAAAAAAAAAAAATCAAACTTTGAGGCATCAAGTGAAAAATCATTTTTCAATCCATGGTTATTTTATATCAAAGATTATATAAAAATTATAACCAAATTTAATTTATTGGGACAGGACTTAACTAACTTATTATTAAGCAAAAGATCAAATAGATTTTTCTTTTAAAATAAAAAAAATATAAACTAATATGATGGTGTACACCTCTAATCCCAGCACTCTGAGAGGCTGAGGCAGGAAAATCACAAGCTCAAGCACAACCTGTGTGACTTAGCAAGACCCTGTAGCTCAGTGCCAAGGTTCTGGGTTCAATCCCCAAAACTAAGAAAAAAGAAAAAGAAGTAATATGAAGGTTACAACAAACATGTTTTAATAGGTCTTATTTTTGTTATTGCTTTTAATACTGGACAAAATATTTAGGTTTTTAAGACAATATATTATAATAAACTCTTTTAGCAATTTTATCTAACTTTCCTGGTTTGTTAGTTCAATCAAAATAGTTTATTTTAAAATACAAAATAACAATATTTTAATTGAAACTTATTTTCAATTGATAAATAAAAACAAACTTGTGCATATTATTATGTTTTATTACAAAAAAAGAAAGAAATTTAACAGGGACTCATGATGAGTAGTAATTAGTACACAGCTTCCATTTATTGAGTGTCAAGCAAGAGGAATGCAGGTACTGTATACTTTCTATACATTACATACAGTCTTAAGAAATGAAGCTCACAGAGATTATATAAATTGCTCAAGATGAAGCTCAGAGCCAGGATTGAAATGCAGGTGAATCATACTCCAAAGTCTCAAAAATATTCTTAACCAATTTCATGCAATCTCCCCTTTCATTACTTCAACAACTTATGAGTGCATGGGGACAAGATGATGAGCATGTTAGAGAAGGACAGATGATTATTCATCTGTACGGTAACAATTCAGACCTTTAGGAATGTATTTTTATTTTATATAATGCTGCCAGCTAGTGGCCCTATTTCATACTGAGTCATAAAGAACAATGCTTGATTTGTTTTCCTTTTTTACACTACTGAGTCAAAAATTCTGCAAATTCCTTCCAAGATCATGCTCTGAAACTATCTATACCTGTGGATGACTTCATTTAACCTCATCCCAGCCTGTGGGCTGTCTCCTCAACCAGCATTAGTATTCCTTGCTCAGTCCCTGCCTGGGCCCCAATGAAAATATAACATCTGCCTAAACGGGAAAGAATTCAGTATATGCCAAGACATAGAGGCTAAAATGTATACTTGTAACTGCCCATGGAAGAGAAGCCTACCTTATTTTAAATACTTTAAGTAATTTTAGGATACTTATAGATTCTTTAGGGACAAAATACAACTTTTCTATACAAAAAATGTGAGTCAGTGATAGAGCACTAAGCCCCGGGCTCAATTCCCAGCACCATTAACAGGAGGGGCAGGATGGGGCCAGGCGGCATAGGGAAAGAAGAAATGCTTTCCACAATGTGGACATATAGAAAAATTATTGTCTGACTACGACTGGACCTTATTCTATGAAAGATCTCTGTATTTAACAAAGCAGTACTGTTAGTAAAGTATGTTTAGACAATAAGTAATTATAATTCTGAAGTTCTACTTGAGGAAAAAATATGCGTACTATTTTTACATTTAAAATGGTCACATTTAACCAATAATTCACTATCTTAAGATAAATATCTTACCCAACAAATAAGAAAGAGTACAGAACACTCATTATGGTATTTTTTCTAACTCAGTGACATAAAGGTATTTTTGGCTGAATTTTCTCATACTATGACATTATTTCAGAATTATTTAAGTGATTTTCTCAGTGAAGAAATATGTCATCATTTAATCAGAGGCTTAGACGCAAGTTCAATATATTGTACAGCCCTGTAATATTTCATGAAACAAAGACTCTGTGGTATTGAGTATATTAGCATCACGGAAAGTATGTTCTGGGTTTAACCTGTAGTCAAAGTGCAAAGCAGCAGAAAGATGAACAGAAAGCACCAAAAACACAGTAAGGAAAGAAATAAATCCTCTGTTGGATTAACTTTGTGAATTGAAAACGAGAAACAAAAAGGACAGTACTAGAGAGTCCAGTGGTCTTCTGACCTGTGTGTGTGTGTGTGTGTGTGTGTGTGTGTGTGTGTGTGCCTTTTTCTCTCTCTCTCTCTCACACACACACCTGCACAAGGTAGAAAGTGCTATATCTCATTTAGTACACACTTTATACAAGGCTTAATTTGCAGCTAAAGACAACATTTTATATATATGTACATATACATACATATACATTAGTAAGTATAATAAATATTGCAAAAAAAACTAAATTGTTTTTTAAAACTTTAAATATATTTCTATAGAGATAGTATATAACTTACAGATATTTCCTGTATTGTCAAAGCTGGTAAGAACATCTTCAACATTCAAGGACCCACTATTATGCCTACAAATGAATAAAATATTTTTATTAATGATTCTGAAATAATAATACCTATTTTTTAAAAAGATGAATCCATATTATGATACAACCAGTATGAATAAACTCTTCTGTGTTCTATTTTTAAAATATTTTCTGCCCACTAGAGGGAGAAGAAAAAAATCAAAATGGTCTTTAGGATATTTAATGCAATAACATTTCTTGCTTAATCAACATCTTAAATATTATCTTTTTAAAAAACCACTGCTGTTTTAGTTACATAAAAGTGAAGTTCTTAACCTTACAGACCAACCCACTCCCAAAGAAAACACACCACACTGAGATTCTGAACATCAAAAGAACTGATCACCTCCAGAGCCGCGTTCAATGATAAGTTTCCTCGAAGGCAGCACAAGTTCAGACCTTCAGTCACTAAGAACTCACCAGACCCTTTAGGTCTGCCCGGTCTATCCACAAGCAGCTCTAAATGTCAGTGGGCGAAGTTTCTGTAGAATTTGTGGACCCAAAGGTCCGCAGTTCATCGGGTGTGAGTTACTTTTCCCTTAGAGATTGGTGCTGATCTCACGACAGCCTTCTACACTCTCCCTCATAAAATTTACAGCTACTTTAGATGCTTTAATAGTTTATAATAATTATTAATTGCTGATAAAATGTATTTCATCAATACTACTTTAACTATCATTAAAACTCATTACAAATAATATATAGTTTTATGAACTAAATTAAGTCCCCTCAAAAATTCATGTTTAAATCCTACTCCCAGTAGCTCAGAATGTAACGCTACTTGGAGACTAGGTCTTCAAAAAGTAAGTAAAGCAGCTCATTAGGATATCCTTAATCCAGTATAACTGGCGTCATAAGAAGAGATTACAGCATAGGCAAAAGGGGCACACATAAGGAGGTCTAAGAGTCGAAAAGGGTGGTAATCTGCAGAACAAGAGGTCTCGGAAGAAAGCCAGCGTGCTAAGACCTTGATCTCACACGTCTATCCCTGCAACTCTGAAAAAATGAGTTTCTGTTGTTTGAGCCATCCGGCCTGTGTATTTTGTTTTGGCAGCCTAAGCAAACTACTCCAGTACACATAATAAGAGAATGCTTGTAAATTACCCCCATTAGAAAAAATGGGTTTTTTATTTCTATCACGGACATCCACTTTGTTGACAGAATGAATATGTAAATTAAAATAAGTTATCTGCGATCCTAAGTGGCCCGACACTAGGCTCAAAAATACTATGTCCCAACTGCAAGACAAAGCTACCAGCCACAAACCAAAGCTTCCTCACAACACAGTGATTCTGTATCTGGTGCGCATCTAAGGTTCTCTGTACAGATGAGATTACTTACATTAATGCTATGGGAAAATACAGTAAACAGCGAGATAAAAGTAAAAGCAACAAAGTATTTAACATCTAATATATAAGATGAAGTGTTAAAATGATTAGCAATATAGCACAGGACTCGAAAAACTTTCTCCTAATTATTAAAGCAATATATAGTTCCTTCAAGAAAAAGTTGCTCGTAATTCTAATGTAGAGAGACAACCAGAATTATTGTGATATACATACCACAAATCTTATTCTATGCTCATATATACTTTTCATAAACAACTGACAGAACATTATTCATACTGTTTTATAATTTGTTTTCTACTTAATGTGTTATAAACAGTTTCCACATCAAGTAATCTCCTGTAACATGATTTTAATGGCTACTAAGTAATTCAATTAATGACTGTCTATGCCATAATCTACTGAACTAACATTATATGTCGGCTTTTAACATTGTGTCAGTTTTGTGCATATATAGAAAGCTGCAGTGAAGGTGCTTGTGAAAATTATCATAAAGGACATTCTCCCTCTCTGTCACACACACACACACATAATCAGGATGAAATAACAATATGAAATCTAAGACAAAAGTAGAAAAAAGATGCAAATATTTTGCATAGCTAAATATTTCTAAAATTAGGAAAATAGAAGTGAAACATTTTAAGAGTTAAAAGTCCTATTCAAAATAAAAAGTGAGACTTGCATGGTCATCACTGAGGCATTCTCTCTCCTGAGTGCATGCGTACAGCACACAATGCTCACACTCCCTTGTGGAGCTGGCACATGCACGGCACACACCTGGAACCTTTTCTCATCTCCTTTCCCTCCCCTCCTCCTTGGCTCTCCCATCTCTTGACCCCCCTCCCATTTGTGAAAGCTCTATCCCTATACTTCCTATTATCTCACTTTTATTTTGCTCCTTATTTATATTTTGCATTCCTCTTACAAGAGAAACCATATGATATTGAAGCGTGTGTGTCTGCTTTATTTCACATAACATTACGGTTTCAAGGTGCATCCATCCATCCTGAGAAGCTATAACACAAAGTAACTGCATTACCTGTCAATGTCACACCTAAATACCTTGTAAGAGAACTGAAAGTATATGTTCATACAAAAACTTGCACATGAATTTTCACAGTAGCATTCGCAAAAGCCAAAAAGTAGACACAACTCAAATAACCATTAACTTATGAATGGGACAGCAAACATGGTATTATCCACACACTGGGATATTACTCAACCACAAAAAAAGAAATGACATATTGATGCATGGTACAATATAAGTGAATCTTATTAGCACATTATTCCAAGTGTAAGGCACCCATAAAAGGCCACATATTATATTATTCCATTTACATGAAATGTCCAAAACAAACAAATTCATATAGAAATTGAAACTACTGAGGGGAGAAAAAAGACAGGAAGACACTGGTAATGTGTATGGGTCTTCTTTTAGGGGTGATGAAAAATTTTAGGATTAAATAATGGTGATGACTCATAACATAGTGAATATATTTTAAAAACACTGAGCACTACACTTTAAAATGTCTCTTTTTAAAAATGGTGAATTTTATAGCATGTAAATTTTATCTTAACCAGATAATTGATTTGAAAAACAGAAAAAGTAAGCCAGAGAGTGAATGAAATGAGCCCTTAAACCCTAAAGAAAAAGATTGGAGGATTATAAAGTTTTAGATTTTCTTTTTTTTTTTTTCTCCAGTACCGGGAATTGAACTCACGACCTTGCACTTGCCAGGCAGGCGCTGCGCCGCTGAGCTAAATCCCCAGCCCCAAAGTTTTAGATTTTCTATTTTTTTGTTTGTTTGTTTGTTTTCTGGTACCGGGAATCGAACTCATGACCTTCCACTTGCCAGGCAGGCACTGTGCCACTGAGCTAAATCCCCAGCCCCTAGATTTTCTATTTTAGATATGACTTGCTTTGAAGGCTTTTCAAAAACAAGTCGCTGAAAACTTTTTTTCAGTGTTACAGTAATAGGAAATTAGTAAATGCCTTCTACAGGTAATACAGGAAAATCTGAACATTTCTCAGGGGAACATTTCAATTTACTGAAACTTTGGTCATATAATCAAAAAAACAAACTAGGAAACTAAGTTATAACTAACCTGTATCTATTACCTAAGTTGAATGAATATATAGACTTGAGTTTTCTGCATACACTGGATCATACTTTATAGACCCTATAAAGTTTCCTCTAAATAGAACAAAAGGTGTTTTAACAGTCACCCCTGGTTTTTGTCACACCTTGTAATAAAACTATGCTTTTAAGTATAAATCAGTACTCATGTCTGCTCAGTTACCAGACTTGCCAAGGTTTTACTTATTAAGCACTCACAAGGCACATACTAAATTCCATGGAGTAATGGTTTGATTTGTCTTCTTTGTTCCCTAGAGAAGCAACATATGATCTCATTTCAGTGTACTATACTAAACAGATACCACAAGGCCTTACCCCAGTCTAAGCTACTAGGCCAAGCCAAAAGACTTAAAATTAAAATAGTTGAAGAAACATGTATTATAAATAGATATCCTTCATGAAAATTTTTTGCTTAAAATTACTCCTAGCCTCATCTAAGCCTTATCCAGTCATATGTCCACCAGAAATGTTTTTGATCCTCTTACAGTTACTATAAATGTGCCTCTCCTTTTCAAAATGTTAAATCCTGTCAGGAAGAGCAGATTTTATAAAATGAAACAGCTACAGTATTATTGCAATGTACTAGAATATAACTGCAAGAAAATTAATTCAGTAAAAGTGATATCTTGTTACTGCAGTTTGCACCTCTCTTGTCTCCCTTCTAATTTTCAAAGCCAGAGCAGTCTGTGTATTTCCCACACTACCAGTGTTTTTAGCTGAATGTTCTCCTATTCTTCTGATTCTATTCTGAAAGTGACAAAACACGAATGGGAAAATACCAAAGCTTCATTTTTCAAATAACTACTACTTGAAAAGTAGTTTGCAAAAAATCTGTTTTCATTTTCAACCTTTTTTGCTTAAAAAAAAAAAAAAAAAAAACGAAAAAAAAAACCTTTGGCTTCTTTTCATAGTCAAATGCTATGTATGAGAGAACAGTTAACCGTTTGATTCGCAACTCACTTTATTCTCAAACCTAACCATATGCCTAAGAACTTTTTTCTTTAGTCTGAAAATACAGCAAGAACCAGTTAAAGCAGCAGGATGTTCTAAAACAAATATGCAAAGCCTAAATTTTGGTAAAAATTGTCTGCAAATTCAGTAGAAGGAAGAATGAGATTCTTTATTAAAAGAACAATCTTCTAGAAGATTTTTTCCCTTCTACAAGAGACAGTTAAAAATTGTAAGAAGAACAATGGTTACCTTAAGAAGATACTATATTCAGGATAAAAGACACTTCTGTATTGGATCCATGCACCAGCCTCTTCTTTAGTTTCCCATTTCTCGGCTTCGGTCACTGAAAACAGATTAAATGACTCAAACCTTCTTACAGATACATGTCGCAGACGATCATCCAGGTGTTTCTGCTTCAGAACCTTTGAAATAAAATCAAATATTGTGGTTATATAAACATAACATAAGCTAAGTGTTCAAAATTTAAATGGTAATGGGACTTTCACTTCCAATAACGTTCAATTCAATCATTGGGACCAACCTCCTACTGCACACAATGAGAAAAGATAAGCAAAGTATTTTAAAATACACCTAAAGACCTCAGAAGACAAAGAAGAGGACAGCCAAGATTTATCAGTCTAACATATTTATTTTTCTAGTACTGGATTTAGAAACCAGGGATGCTTTACCACCGAGGTACTTCCCCACCCCCTTTTATTTTTTATCTGGAGACAAGGTCTTTCTAAGAATGACCAAGCTGCCCTCCAATATAAGATCCTCCTGTCTTATCCTCCAAGTAGATGGGATTATAGGCAAGCACAACCAACCCAGTTTACCAGTCTAATATCTCAAAACTGAGACAAGCCTAGAGAAGTGAGCCTGGCTTCTGTAACCACTTCTCTCGGGGAGATATCTGTCAATTCCAGAATATAATGGAGAAGATAAGCAGAATCTACAATGAGATGAGGAGATAGAAGTTAAAAGTTGAATTTCAAACATACCTAAGCAGAGGCAGGTATTATGTTTTCCTGAGCCTGGGTGGCTAGGGAGCGGGGTGTTATATATTGTGTGTTTTAATCAATCATATGATCACTTCTGTTGGTGCCATCTTGAAAATTAGTGTTGTAAGTGTGGGAGAAAGAAGAGATTTCTGTGATATTGATGAGATTAAGGAAAAATCCCAGTAGTTTTGGATCAAAATGAAAGTAGTGTATAAAGTAATGATGTACTTCATTTTTTAAAACTATACTGTATTTCCAAATAGATGTGTGTACTTTTTTTCTAAATATGCTCTGCTACTTGAACAAAGTAAGGCCCTATTGGAGAAATGTAAGAAATTGTACAAAATAAGCCTGGAAGATCCTGCACATGAGAAAACAAGAAAGCTACAAAAAATGGTATTTATGTCAAAGGGACTCAGGAGCCAGTTTGAATGGGGTCCGCTTTCTAAAAAATAGGATGGAAAATGCAGAAGAAAAGGACAGATTTCTAGATACATATGAATTACCAAAGCTGAATAAAGGAGATATAAAAACCCTAAATAAATCAAAATCATCAATGAAATTGAAGATACAATTAAAAACTTACCAAGAAAGAAGAGCCCAGGAGGTGATGGATTCACTGCTGAATTCTACAAGAAACTTAGAGAAGGGCTAGTGCCACTACTTCTCAAACTCTTTAATGAATTGAAAGGGAACCAATACTCCCAAATTCATTCCTGGAAGCAAGCATTACCCTGATACAAAACCAGAGAAGGACTAAACTAAGAAAGAGAACTACAGGCCAATCTCCCTAATGAACATAGATGCAAAAATCCTCTACAAGATACTGGCAAACAGAATGTAGCAAACCATCAATATTATACACCATGACCAAGCTGGATTCATCCCAGGGACGCAGGGATGGTTCAATATATGTAAATCAATAAATGTAATACACAGTATTCACAGAGCCAAGGACAAAAACCATATAATCATCTAATAAATGCAGAAAAAGCTTTTGACAAAGTCCAGCACCCATTCATAATAAAACCCTACAGAAAATTGGAATAGATGGTCTTTACTTCAACCTGATAAAAGCCATCTATGACAAACCAACAGCCAACATCACACTAAATGGACAAAAACTGAAAGCTTTCACTCTAAAATCAGAAACAAGACAAGGATGTCCACGGTCTCCACTCTTATTCAACATAGTCCTTTAGCCAGAAACTAGAAACTTTAGCCAGAGCAACTAGACAAGAGTAAGAAATAAAATAAATAAATAAATAAATAAAGATAGGGCAGAAGAAGTTAAATTATTATTATTTGTGGATAACATTATACTCTACATAGAAGACCCCCAAAACTCTAAGAAAAAACTGCTAGATTTAATAAGTAAATTCAATAGCACAGCTAGATACAAAGTCAACACTCAAAAATCAATAGCATTCCTGTACACAAATAACAAACTCACAAGAAAGAAATTAAGGAAACAATACCTTTCACAGTAGCATCCAAATATCTAGTAAGAAATCTAACAGCAGATGTAAAAGACCTCACATTGAAAACTACAGTACTCTGAAAAGGGAGATTGAAGAGGCTATCAGAACATGGAAAGATATCCCTTGCTCTTGGGTAGGAAGAACCAATATACTGAGAATGCCCATATTTCCAAAACTGTTATACAGATTTAATGCAATTCCAATCAAAATTCCTACAGTATATTTCACAGAATTAGAGAAAACAATCCTAGAATTCATTTGGAACCAGAAGAGACCTAGAATAGCAACAGCAATTCTGGGCAACAAAGGCAAGGCAGGGGGCATTACAATCCCTGACTTAAATTATAGTATAAAGCTACTGTGATAAAAACAGCATGGTACTGGAAAAAAAAAGACCCAAAGGTCAACAGAACAGATGAGAAGATGCAGAACCAACTCCCAACATACTCAGCCACCTTATCTTTGGCAAAGATACATTCACTGGCCAAATACATTCACTGGAAGAAAGATAGCCCTTTAATAAATGGTGCTGGAAAAACTGGCTTTACACATGGTTAAATCTTAAATTGGATCCATATCTTTCACCATGCATCAAACTAAATTCAAAATGGATCAAAGATCTAAATATTAAAACAGAAAAATTATATCTGCTGGAAGAATACATAAAACTCCTGAAGACTTTGTTATAGGCAAAATATGAATGAAACCTTGATTGCACAGGAACTATCACAAAGAATCAACAACTGGGATCTCATCTTATTAAAAAGCTTTTGCACAGCAAGAAAAGATAATAAAAGAATGAAGAGACAATCCACAAGGTGGTAAAAAAATGTTTTCCAGCTGTTCCTCAGAGAAGGAATTACTATTGAGAACATATAAGAACTAAAAAAAAAAAAAAAAAAAAAAAAAAAACCAGACCTCCCAAATTTAACTACCCAATCCAAAAATGGGCATCTGAGATGAAAATACACTTCTCAGATGAAGAAATACAAACACCAAATAAATATTTGAAAAAATGTTCAACATCACCGGTCATTCAAAAGATTGAAATTAAAACAACCGGAGATTCCATCTCAACCTGGAAAGAATGACTATCATCAAGAAATCAACCAATAACAAATGCTGGAGGGGCTGTTAGGAAAAAGGAACTCTTCTCCATTGTTGGTGGCAGTGTAGACGGGGCAACCACTGCGGATACCAGTGTGGAGATTCCTTTAAAAAAACTAGGATTGGAAGTCCCATTCGACCCAGTCATTCCCCTTCTGGGTTATCTTCCCAAAAGAATTAAAACCATTGTACCACAGTGATATATGTGCCCTGATGTTTACAGCAGCACAACTTGTAATAGCTAAATCTTGGAAACAACCCAAATGCCCATCAACCAAGGAATGGATAAAAAACACATGGTATTTTTATACAATGGAGTACTACTCAGCCGTAAAGAAGGATAAACTTGAGACTTTTATAGGTAATTGGATGCAACTCAAGACCATACTCATTAGTAAAATAAACCAGACTCACAAGTGTAAACACTGTATTGTCCCTCTTGTATAAAAAGCTGAAAGAGTAAATGAGATCCAAAATGTACAACAGATATTGTAAAGTGGGAAGAAACTGTTCAAAAGGAAAGAGAAACTGGGATGGGAGAAAGGAGAAAAGAAGGGAAAAAAAATACACACACACATACACATAATAGTTAAGATAGATATACTACTAATTTCTCTTAGTTTATTGAAAAGAAAGGTTTGTGCTAATATTGTTTGGAAGATTAAATGCTTATATATTATACTCTGAGTAACTAATTTACTAATTTACAGATAACAATATGCAATATGCTAACCATTGTTACTCTCCCATTACCTTGTTTTGAAATTTTCTTTTATTTTTTTTTCTCTTTAAAATAAAAAAAGGGCCAGACGTGATGGGGCATGCCTATAATCCCAGCACTAAGGAGGGTGAGGCAGGAGGATCACTGTGAGTTCAAGGCCAGCCTGGGCTACATAGTGAGTTCAAGGCCAGCCAAGGAGACTCTGTCTCAAAAAAACAGAAGGGAAGGCAAGGGAAGCAGAGGGGAGAGGAGAGAAGGGGAGGGGAGGGAAGGGAAGAAAGTTGGTCTTTTAGATGGAAGGTCAGGTAAGGTGGTCTATTTATCAAAGTACCCAATTTCAAAATATCCTACAAAGCCATAATTTAAAAAAGCAGCAGTGTACTGGCATAAAAATAGACATGTACAGCAATGGAGTACTAGAAAACAGGACACAGAACCAAACCTATTCAACTACAATGACCTGATTCTTGACAAAGGGCCCAAAAACATACATTGGGAAAAGACTGCCTCTTTAGCAAATGGTGCTAGGAAAACAGGATTTTCATATGTAGTAGACTGAAAATAGATCCCCATTTGTACCCTATACAAAAATCAATTTAAAAAGACCTACATACAAGACCTGAAACTTTGAAACTGCTAGAAGAAAACATAGGGGAGGCACTTTAAGTCACAGATACAGGCAAAGACTTATTGAATAGGACTCCATAGCACAAAAAATAGCAGGAAGAGACAAAATTACATCACACTTAAAAGCTTCTGCATGGCAAAGTAAACTATTCACAAAATGAAGAGCAAGCCTGCAGAATGGGAGAAAATCTCTACCACTATTCTCCTAATACAGGATTAATATCCAGAATATATAAAGAACTCAAAAAATAGCATAAAAAATGGGCAAATAACTCAACAGACACTTGAAAAGTACAAATGGCCAATTAGTACATGAAAGCTGTTCCACTTCTTTAGCCATCAGGAAAATGCAAATCAAAACTACACTGAGGTTCTCTCTCACCCCAATCAGAAGGAGTATCATCAAAAAACAATACACACTGGTGAGAATGGGGGTGCGAATGAAATGAACTCTTCTGCACTGCTAGTGGGAATGTAAATTAGTG